AGTTGGATTTAGATTTGGTCCAGATGGATGTGAAGACAACTTTTCTATACGGAGATTTAGATGAGGAGATCTACATGACACAATCCTTAGGATTCAGAGTTGTAGGAAAGAAAATGTAATTTGCAAGCTGAAGAAGTCTCTTTATGAATTGAAGCAATCGCCGCGACAGTGGTACAAGAGATTCGACAGTTTCATGATTGGCCAGGGGTACACGAGGAACCCATATGATCCATGTGTTTACATACACAAGTTACAGGATGGTGAGCACATATATTTGCTTTTATATGTTGACGATATGCTTATTGCTTCCAAAAATTCTTTGGCTATTCGAAAGTTGAAAGAGGAGCTGTCATCCGAGTTCGAGATGAAGGATCTTGTAGAAGCAAAGAATATATTGGGTATGGAGATCGAGAGAGACAGGGTGAAGGGGAGATTGAAGCTTACACGGAAGAGCTATTTGCAGAAAATGTTGAAGAAATTCAACTTTGATGGCAATGCAAAAGTAGTTAGCACACCATTGGCTCCCCACTTCAAGCTTTCAGCGTTGATATCACCTGTTTCGGTTGAGGACAGAGATTATATGTTGAAGGTCCCATATGCCAGTGCAATAGGTAGCTTGATGTATGTGATGGTATGTACGAGGCTAGATTTGTCACAGGCCGTGAGTATGGTATCGAGATACATGCACGACCCCGGGAAGGGTCATTGGGAGGCCATGAAGTGGATTCTACGGTATGTTAGAGGCACCATGGATGTTGGTTTGGTATTCGAGAAGGATGAGAAGAATGGGTAGGATTGCATTGGTTACGTGAATTCAGATTATGCTGGAGATCTTGACAAGCGCCGATCTACTTCAGGTTATGTGTTTACATTGGCAGGTACACCGGTATGTTGGCGATGTACGCTTTAGTCCACAGTGGCTCTCTCTACTATAGAGGCGGAATATATGGCGGTGACTGAGGCTGTTAAGGAGGCTTTGTGGCTGTAGGGATTATTGGATGACTTGGGGATCCCACAGGAGACCATTCGGGTATTCTGTGATAGCATGTCGACTATCTATTTAGCAAAGAACCAGGTTTATCATGCGCGCACGAAGCATATCGATGTCAGATTCTATTTTGTTCGTGATGTTTTGGATGATGGAGACGTCATATTAGAGAAGGTCCACATGAACGATAACCCTGCAGATATGATGACCAAAGTTGTTTCAGGTGTGAAATTTGATCATTGTTTGAAGCTTTTGAACATTCTTCAGTGTTAAGGCCTTTGGAGGCCATTTGGATGAACTACGTTCGGATTGATTTCTTGGGCAAGAGGATACATAGGCAGTCTTTCGATGCAGCCGGTTTGATTCAGATGGGGGGAGATCGTTTCAGCTCACGTTTGGTTTCCTGACTTATTGTGGATTGAGTTTGTTGTCGTGGGGTGTTTCCACAGCGTCCTGGATGCAACAAGTGGGATTTTGGATGATTTGATGTCGGCTCAGTTTTGGTAGAAACATTCACTGAGGTGGAGAATTGAAGAAATGACGAACGCGACGAAGAACCAGCAAAAAAAAAGTGTCAGACAGACTGGCGGCCGACCTCGAACGTGCACAAGGGTCAGGAAGAGCTGGGAGCTGAAGGCGGTCGACCATCATAGTCGATCGCGTGGACCCTGTAGGATTTTTTGGTTCTGTCGTTTGGTTCGGTCGACCGTCGCGGTTGATCATGAGTTTTCCTGTCGTCACGGTCAGCCGTCACGGTCGACCGTCACGGTCGACCGCAATACCTGCGCGATCGACCGCCGCGGTCGACCGCAGATGAATTTGGCCTGGGCTTTGGGTTTTCAACCAGGATCGTTTTGGAGCTGATATATAACTCTAATCCTTATTAGGTAGGGTTAAGTAAGGACGTTTTTAGCAGTCTTTGGGATATGATTGCTGCATCCAATTGTGAGAGATTTGTGAGAGATCTAGAGCTTTGTTTTAGGGTTTGATCGGTGAGATTTGTAACTCTATTTGTATTCTCTTGATTTGTAATAGTAAGAACTCCCCTCTCCTTGCCCAGTGGACGTATGCAACTTGCCGAACCACGTTAAACTCGTTGTCTTGCTGTGGTATTGTGTTTGGTTTATTAGTTGTGATTTATCTCTTGGACTGTTCGTGTCGCTTCGAGGCTTTCGCCGCACACAACAGGATTCAGGTCATCTTCACTATCGAAAAAGTAATAGAGATATTATTATTTTATAACAATCATTGGTTATCTAATAAACAATTATGGTTTGCTTTTAAATGTAAATTAGGAATGATGGTAATTCATGGATGTATGGTGAATGCTAGATTTAGAATGAATCACAATCGCCTACCAAATAATCAACTGTTGTGTTAAAAAATAGTTGTCTCTCCGCTACCTTTTGATAGTAGAGGCGATAGTTCAGAAACCATCGTAGCCAAGAACATCCCAGCAGACTTGCACACACAAGCAGAAGGAGGCGAGAGGTAGGAATTGTTTTCCACCACCACACTTTTTTATGCCTAAGTTAGTAAACTTATAGGCGAGTGGCAGAAAGCAAGAGGAGTTAAAAGAGAGGTCTATATCAATCTCTCTCTTCAACTAATTGAGCTTTATGAGAGCAAAGGTTGTTAAGATGGAGAGGTCCATCATGGCTTCCCTCATGGGTATGAACATATAATAATTAGGCTACATCCCGTCATCTTTTCAACTTTCTTGGATGCATCCTTTCGCCCATAATAACATAGGGAGGTGGTTGCAGACTCATTTGTTTAATGATGGTGACTTTTGACTGTATTTTCTCTAACTATCCAACTCAAGAAGAACATCATGATGGTTACCTTTGAAGTAACCCTGTACTTATCTATGCACACAGATAATTCTGAATAATCTTAAAATTACTTTCATTATGGTTACCTTTGAAGTATTATTACTCAGTAATCTCAGGTTGTCTATATAGATTCACAGACCACGAGATCATCTGTGTAATTAATACCATAGAGTAGTGTGAGATGTAAGTAATCCTTAAAATAAACCAAAAAAAAAAAAAAAACTGAAGTGTTGATGTGTTCATTAGATTAACATCACATGATACCCATTAATGTTTGCAGATTAAGTCAACAGAAGGAGCTGAACTCCAGTTGAAGGGTTAACCAAACATTTTGTTAGAAGGCATCCCCTTCAGATCTGGCGAGGAACGCAGCTGCACATGATGGCTATATCAAAAATAAAAAGTTGGTTTTTCTTAGAAGGGATCAATCTGAACAGATCCCTTCATGGACATAATTAAATAGGATAAAATGATTCTTCCACTTTTAAATATTGGTGAACTCTCAAGTTGCTCTCTAAAGTATCAGTTTATCTATTTCAATTCTTAAACTATGCTTATGGTCTTAGTATATATAGTCATTTTGTGAGTCTACAATTAAATATTTAACAGATCGATGAGTAACCATGTTTTTTTTTCATATGTTTTTATTGGCTTGTCTCCTGTTGCCCCAAGCTAAAAAATATTCTTAACTATTTTTCTCCAAGACCTTTTTTATGATTTAAATAATTACTAAATTGTAGAAAATACAGGAAACGCAAACAAATAATATCAAGCCATTAATCTATTAAATATTTGATTATAAGCTCACAAAATTGTCATATTGGGACGTTCATATAGTTTAAGAGGGAAAATAGTCAAATTGATACGTTAGAGGAGCACTTAAGAGTTCATCAATATTTTAAAGCTAAAATGATCATTTTGTCGAATTAAATGTGGCTATTAATCTACATACACAAATCAAACGTAAGGATATATTTAAAAAGGTGTGCTATTGAGGAATCTACTTAATATCGCTTTGTTATCAATTGTTAGGATTTTAGACCCTACCCATTTAACTTCAGGGTTTTGTGGATAACTTTTTTAAAAAACTCAAGAACAATTAATGATCAATGCAAATGCGGAAAACACAATATTTTATGTGGTTTGACAATGTACCTACGTTCTGTGAGAAGGTGAGCAAAATATTTTCATTTTTTTCCTGCAAGTCATCATCACCCCCCCCCCCCCCCACTAAAACCACACTCAGTATAACAATGAAACATTTTTTAAATGATTTGATTCAAACCAACACTAAGTAGCATTACAATGAAACGGTTTTTAACAAATGATCAAATCTCCTAGTATGTGGAATTCCACAATCCCTCCCAGCCCCTCCCCCCCATCCCCCCCGCCCACACAACACCCACACTCCCCAACGTTATAAATTTGTCTATTTTCCCCTTAAACTATGTGTATATGTTCAATGTAAGTCTACAATCAAATATTTAATAGATTGATAATGCGGTAGTGGTTTTTTTTTCACATTTCTTGAATTTTCTACATTTTGAAAAATAATATTTCAATTCCTCAAAGAGTTTAGAGTGCAAAACTTTTTGGAGTAAACTAGTTAAGATTTTTTTGAGTGGGGAAAAAAAAGATATATCACTGATTTCTTAAATATTTGACTATAAGCTCACAAAATGACCCCAATGATACCGCAAATATATTCGAGGGACAAAATAGATAAATTGATACTTTAAAGGAAAATTTACGAGTTCACTGATATTTTAAGTTTAATTAAGTTAGTTATTTTGACTCCCCTCCCTCTCCATGGTAGTTGCAGGGCTCAACCCCAAGGACTGATTTCTACCCACCCTGCTCTTTCCGCCACCTGAACTGGGTCTACGAGCGCAACAACATGGATCGCAGCTTCTAGTGAGAGTACAAATTATTATTCAATTATTAACAATTTTTGTCCCATCGTTAAACGTGATCAATCATCACATAAGCTCAACCGATCTCGTCATCTAACAATCATTGTTGTTGGCCTACCGACCACAGAATCTCGTCAACCGGCAGTAACCCACTGTGAGGTTGAACGCATCTCACATTAACAAGTGTAAAATGCAAGTTCAAGGTCCCAATAAATTTGAATTGGGTTATTTGCTTGAACCCCAAACTGTTGGAATGAACCAAACTTAAATAACCAAAAAGGGCATTGCACATTCTGTCACTTACGATCTCATCTTTCGACACCTGATACAAACTAGTGGTGGTAGTTCAAAAGCCGAACACGACATATAATTATATTACAAAAGATATATAATTTTACATTGTTGGGAGGATTGAAATTAACCTCTTCCTCCTCCTCGAACGACATCTTAAGTTCTGTACACATTCTTCTCTTCTCGCAAATAAAACAGAGGAATGAACTCTCAACGTGATTGTGGAAATGCTTGATATATGGAACTTTGAAAAATGTGATACTTCTGGTAAAAAGAAGAACGCGGAGATTAAAGATAAAGTTGAGAGGACGGACAGACATCTCATCTGATAATGTCAGTTCTGAGAAGACAGACAGGAGGAACACTGTAAACTCACACGAGGGGTCCTAATCATCAGCAGCGCTCAAGTCATTTCTGCTTAGTGTTTGAATTATAGCTTCCAAAACTTTGATCTCGTGATCTTTCTTCGAGATCTCCTCTTGTTTCGAACGCAATTCTTCCATGTGTAGCTTGAAAACCTCTGCAGATGACATCGAGAGAACGTAAAAGACGCATGCCCTTAGTATATATTATATAACTGCGTAAAATGACATGAAACAAAAAGGAATTCTGCAATCAGCGCCTTATTACTCCCAAAAATAGTGACCAAGTATTTTTAGCAGCGCAAGTGATGACTGGTGGAGAATTTCAATTAAGCTACAGAAAGAGATATTAATGAGCTTTTTTTAATCAAGAATTTTCTTTCTTTCTTTCTTTCTTTCTTTCTTTAAATATAGGAGAAAATTGGTTTACCAAACACATAACTACATCTATTATCCTCATACATTAAAGGGGTTTACCAAACAACTTCCTTATTTTCTTACATGCTTAAAAGGAGTTTTGAGAATAAGTAATAGGTAACGTATAAGGATTCAAAAAATAGGTAGTAGTCAAACATGCTCTAAAAATATGGAAGACCGCTTCCTTGACCAAGACATGGGAGGTTGACAACCCATGGCCGTAGTGAAAATGTCATCATCCTTTAGATCTTTCCTACCTTGACTTATGATCCATCACCAACTCGAGTTTGAAAGGAAAGGGTTAAACAACGATTATAGCCAATGTGATAATAAGAATTGGTATCATGTTGCTTGGTGGGTGAAAAATGATTGTTGATATGACAAGGCCAATCAACTTTATCTAATCCTTCTACATCAAAACATTAGTATATAAAATTATAACCCTCAGCGCTCATCATAACTTCGGAGTTTTGGTGTAGTGACAGAGACTATAAATGGCACCAAAACAACCTAGGTTCTGATCTTGTTGGCCACGAATTTCTAAAGCGCATTAAAAAACTGCTCTTTTGAGTCCAGATTTTGGCCCATTAAAGGGTCTCAACCTGCTCAACCTGCGAGGGCAATGTTCGAATTAAAATTATAACCCTCAATTCTCACCACACCTTCAGAATTTTGGTTAGTTATGTAGTGGCAAGGACTTTAAAAAATTAGGACATCCTGTCAAGATCTCATGTACTGATGAGGTGGTATCAGTTGCTAGATTCTTGGTCAAGGTGACAATGAGCATAAATCGCCTTGTAATAAAACCTAAAAGGTTAGTTTACAGTTAAGGAAAGAGTTAGCATAAGAGCAGAATTTATATCAGATACACAATTAGCCTATGAATCAGCCTGTGGAATCAAACACATTGGCATGACAGGAAGGCAATGAAGAAACCTGAAGCCATACTTGTAGTGTTTTCGAGCTCTCGTGTAACCTCTTGTGCATGTAATTCAGCAGATCGCTGAGCTGCCTCAGCCTGCCGTTTCTCAGTACGTGCACGAGCTGCTGCTGCAATTGAAGCATCAAGTTCACGTTCCAAAGTCTCTACCCTCTGCTCAAGAGTCTGAACATGGAAAAACAATATAAGCAAAGTTGGGTACAATATCAAAAGTTACATACTGACTTAAGCATGAATGAATTGAAAGAACAAGATGAATTTAGTTCAATGTAATCAACCTAATCCTATTTTCATAGTAGTTCATCACAAAAATATCCATTAATGTAAAGGTTACCCATCTCTTTTCAGAACTAGCAAAGATATATGCCCACAAAATACTTGAAACATTGATATGGCAGTTCCAGATACTGTGAAACATAAAGAACAGAACGTAAGAAGAAAAAAAGAACATGACAAAAGATTCATGCTATCTAAAGTTTCAAAAATCAATATATTCAAAAAAATTCAAATTATAGGAGAAACTAAATTTGTTTCTGAACCATAGTGGTACATCCATTAATTAGTAACTAAATAACCTCGCTCAAATGTCAAAATTCAAAGATCCTTAAGACATCTAGTGATGATTTATGATCAAATGCACAAGAAACTAGCATAGTCTATAACATTAAACATTTGCACTTATTTTGATGAATAACTTTACTAATTTCTAGTAGGTGTATTCTTTATGTTTAACCAACCAAAAATGGCCCATATGTAGTAGCACGAAAGTCATGATTTCAAATTTCCAGTAGCACTAAACCCCAGGCCTTCACACAGCTAATTTAGGTGCATTATTCTCCTTCTTAAGGAGCACAGAGATTTATATAGAAAGCAATTCAAACAAAAAGGACAAACAGGAAGAAAGAAAGATCCAATTATAACTATTTTCTATCATTTTAACTAACTTTAGGTGGAGAAGATTATCAATGACCTGAAGGAAATATATAGCCTGGATATTCCCCTTTTCTTACATAATGTCTACCCTTTTTCAGCCTGACACACCTACCTACCAACAAATAAACACCAAGTTGATGGATGTTCCAGGGAAAGTAGTCGAAGGAAGGAATTTTAAGTATTTTGGAATTTATAGCTAAATCATCCATTTCCTTCCAATTTGCATATGACTACTTAATCATGTTTAGAGATGTCAGGTGTTGCATAAACTGATCAGTCAAAAAAATCAAACTCAAATAAAATGTTGGCATATATTTTGGTGTTGATCCTTGATTTCATAGTTAATTTTGAATACACCAAGTGGATCTATAAATTCACAATGAACCTGCAACTTGTTCTTAAAATATCATACCAAATCCAACCCTTACCATCCTGAAGCACAAGTCCCTGAACCTTAAAAATATCCCAAAAATGAGAAATGAAGGTGGAAAGGAAAGTACTTACATTCATAGGGAAGAAGGGCGTAGCAAGGGCATAACAATTATAAGATGTACATATATTACCATTTAATCAAGAAGCACTTTTTTCTGGTGGGAATTTTGAATATTTAATGTTGAAAGCCAGCAAACGGTTCAAACTTCATGTGTTTCGAATGCATATCCCCTTAGAACAAACCACATGCGAGCGGCTGGTTTTGAACCAAACACCCCCCCCCCAAACCCACCCGACCCAGTGGTTGAAAACTACACGCTCGCATGCAGGTTGTTCTGCGGGGATATGTATTCCATGTGTTCTTGAGTGCATTGCCGCATTATAGGCCACTTGCATTACTCTTTGACATCCGTGTAATGTCCAAGAACTCTCCTCTATAGGAACCATGAGATATTAACAAAATCCATAGCCATTGGTGACTATTGTTTCATACACTTTCATGTTCTTGTACTGTGCTTACTTTATTCAATTGTCGTTTTGCCTATGCTGCATAGTTATTGTCCAGTCTAAAAATTCAAGTAAGAATTTCATGTATGATTAAGTATTTTTTAGATGAGTCTGATATAGTGCACGAATATATTTACTTACAATACTCTAAAGGCTGAACACAGAAATTATTCCTCGGAACCTGCTGTGTTAGTAAAAAAAAAAAAAATCCTCCAATGGTAAGTCATGTTGCAGTTGAATGAGTATACTGAGCTTTATTTCCATAGTTTCAGAAAATTCTAATGTGAGGTAGTCATCGTAGAGTGTATCTATGACATGAAAACTGACTAATCAGCAAAAACATAGTTTCAGTGAAGTAGTCATCCGTAGAATGCCGTACAGTTATTTCCATAAGTGAATTTCCTTCCACGTGAAGCTTTGTGTTAACTTCTCAGTCGCAGGAGATAAACTTTGTAATATTATGCAGTTTTGTCCTATTTCAACATGTCATTGATCTCATTCACTACTTGAGCCGAAAAAGAAAAACAAAACTGCCCCACCCCCAGTGGTATTGTAACCTAGAGTATGCACATAATATTGTTACACTCATTAGCTCCTTTAAGTTCATGTTAGCAATCAAGTTGAGCTCCATCCAGAGATGATACAAAGTGCCATATGCAGCGATTAACATTTCTCCGTGTCCTAGTTTTTGCCAAGAAAATACACAAACAGCTCTCTTTTCACATCTTTTCCACAAAATTACACCTTCTCTGAACCAATTAAACCATGAAAAACAAGTAACAAGATACACGGCTCTACATAAATCAACCAACAATGCTGGATCCCTAAGCTCAGCAAAATGTGCATGGTAATACCATCATGCAATTGGCAGATACAAAAAACTCAAACTTCTTAAATAGCAGTGTTTTAAATGTGTACTACCATGTCAAACATGTCGACCGACATGACGGATTTAGGGACCAACCGACACGATATGGAACTTTCCAATGCATATTGCATTTTCAGGGTTCATGTTGGATATATCAGGAGACATGTTGGATATGTTGGCCAAACATAACGAGAGACATGTCAGCTGTTTTTTCAATCTGAAAATTGGTTGATTTTTTTGTTATGTTTATCTAATCAGGTTTGAGTTTAAATTCATGATTGACTTAATATTGCTTCCAAAGACAAAACCGATCAGTTAGGGGGAAAAAGGACCGAAGTCATTTCCGTCGCTCCTCCTCTCTCTCCTTCGACATCTCATTGATCCCTTCTCCGAGCTATTTCTTCGACATTAATATCAGACAATCTTCTCTCTCCTTAACTATCAACGTCGAGCTTCTTTTTTCTCGCCTCTTCTTCAACATCAACCCTAAGTATCATAAGTTATTTGTTTTTTAATATGTTTAGAGAATAGAATTTATTCAGTGTGTTTAGATTTTATTTATGATATTATATTACGCATATGCACACTATCCAATATGACAATCCGATATTTTTTTCATGGCCCAAACATATCCCGATTTTCGCTATCGCACATGAATTTTAGCAGTCCCACGTGAACCACATATGACATTTAAAACCTTGTTAGATAGTACTTTTGTACTTACAAATTATCTATAACATCAGCATGAAGGTCTTGTCTTGTCTACATTGGGAGCCTCTAAGCTCTCTCGCTTTGTAGCTCTATGTTATGTTCTTCCACTTGTCGTTTTCATGCTCCATATAGGTACTTGAGTGCCTCACCCTCCCCATTATCAAAGAGAACTTCATGCGAATTCTCCCAAATAATCTTGTAGTAATGCATGCAACCACTTGCTCCTATTTAGCATGTATTTTTACCCGACCACACATTTCCCAGCCCCGATATAACTACAAATTAGGAAGCACGAGTGACATCACATTTCCTAGAAGTATCAAAGCTTAGCCCTTCACCTTCCACTCCAATCATGACCAATCCTTCAAAACTAAATAACCAGTTTATCCATATCATACGTTTTCTCGCCTATAAAATCTTCCAAAGCAACATTTTTAATTCTTACAAAACCATCACAATTTATAATCATATGTATACCACTAGAAATCAAATCCCACTCCCTTCTCTCTCTGTCTGCTGAGCGCCTAATTTCCAGCTTTAATATACCTTTGACATGCTATAAAGTTATAGTTTCTTTTTGATAAACCTTTTTTTAAATTTGATACCCCAAACCTTTTCTTTCTACACTTTGATACACCAAAGTTTACACCTTTTTCGACTTTCAACACCCTAAAACTTTCTTCTTCTTCTTCTTCTTTTTTTTTTTTGCACTTCGATACACAGAGTTTGGGTTTCAAAGGTAAAAAATGTGTAAACTTTGGGATATCAAAGCCGAATAATGTGTATACTTTGGCGATTAAAGTGTCGGGGAAAAACTTTGGGCTATCAAAGTCCAAAAAGGTGTCAACTTTAGGGCATCAAAGTGCAAATAACCACTTAATAACCATACATAAATATTTATATCTCCAATTAGAATCGCGTGAATAGGGTAATGAAAGCCAATTGTAACGACAATAAGAGCAAATAATGATCCTAATCATCTCCAGAACCCTCAGTTCTAATGGACTTGTGGCAAACTACAACTTGTAATTTTATCTAGATCTTATAATCAGTTCAAAAGGATAGAGCGAAAACGAGTGCAGAAGAGCTGGGATTTTTTGGGGACCTTGATGGATTTGGCCTGGTCGGAGGAGAGGGAAGCCCTAGAGAAGGTGTCGTCGTCGACGAAGACGGCCTTTTTGGCGACGATCCTCTGCAGAGACTCCAAATTCGACGCCATCTCTGAGAGGTTGACGATGGCGGTCCTCCATCTCTCGCCTCCTCCAACTTTCTCCTTCTCTTTCTCCATCTCTTCGGCTTTCCGGTTGTGATCTTGTCCTTTTTTGTGTTGTTTTTTTTAAATGTTTTTGGCTAACTTATACCCTAAGACCATCAGCAGCAGGAGGGCAAATATTGCTCTCCACCTCAGCTTTTGTCCTCTTTTATTTCAGCTCCATAGCAGGAAGGCAAATATATACTTTTTTACTTTATCTATACCCCATCATATTTTCTCTTTCATCCACATCACTATATCATATACCCCACCATATTTTTTTTGATTTTTTTTACACTGATGGGACCCACATATTCAGATTTGCCCATGGGCAATTTTTGCTCTCCAAAACGTTCTCTCTCCAGTTGCTTATTTGCCCATGGGCAATTTTTGCTCTCCAAAACGTTCTCTCTCCAGTTGCTTTCCATTTTGCTTCCCTGCTGTACAAGATATTTCCACATTTGCTCTGCTGCTTTCCATTTTGCTTCCCTGCTGTACAAGATATTTCCACATTTGCTCTGCTGCTGTATGTGGTCTAAATGGCACTTATATACCTTATCGTTTCACTTTTGTAGCACTTATATACCCTAAGTTACAAAACATTAAAAAAAATACATTGACAAATCCTTACAAGTTGGTACCTTCTGTTAACTATGAGAATATTCTCTGAAATATTCCCACATGCTGGACAATATGATCAACTTGAATGCTTCTCACCCTTATTTATTACAGTATTTACTATATTACCTACCCTCTTCCCTAATTAAATTATTTTCATTATCTTGTTCTTTTCATAGTCTCCAACTTCTACTTCCTCTTTATCGTTTACAGGTGAAAGAAAATGAAGTCCTCCTCGTCTACAGCTTTAGGTGGGTCATCACGCTATGTCGTTGGTGAAGAGGAGAGTAGGATATGCTATTGTCAATCTATTTCGTGGGTGAAACAGCTCGAACGGATAAAATTATGAGCGTCGATTATTTGGTTGCCCAAATTATAGAGATGCATCCAAGTGTAAATTTTTTGAATGGAAGGATAAACCCTTCCCTCCCCAAGCTCAAGCTGTGATCAACAAACTTTTCTATGAAAAAGATGTCGGTAAAGAAGAACTAAAGAGTGAAGTTTGGGAAAAATTAAGAAATATAGAGGGGAAATTGAGAGAGAAAAAGTTGAAATTGAAGATTAGATAAAACAAGTTAGTGGAGAATGAAGATATTCTACGAGGTAGAGAAAGGATTTGAGGAAATATGAGGTATATTTGAGAGAGAGGTGGGGAGAGAGGAAAAAATGAAGAATTTTTTTATCTTTATTATTTTGATTGTGAACAAACTTAATTGAAGTTGAATGATGTTGTAATATGATGCTTTATCTAATTATATAGTTTATTTGTAATTTAACTATTTATGAAGATATGAATTATGTTCATGTTTATCATAATTTTGTAATATTTTTTATTATAAAATTTTTGCTTGATTTTGTAGGAATCAGGCTTGAATTTTGTTATAATTTTGATTGCATCAGGCTTGAGTTATGCTTGAATCATAATTTTGCAATAATGTTTCTTGAATTTTTCCATAATTTTGCTATGGTATTGCCATATGATATGTTGTATGAACTACAACAAAAATCAATACTCATATTCACACAACACATGTATTCCCTGTCGATATTGCTCAAACAAAAATATTTATAATCAGAACATAGCACCCAACCTCAGGGTTGTCATTCTGCCAAAAAGATCCTCATGTCATCTTACATGAGCCTAAGGTATGATTTCTGAAGGCTCGGGTTAATAGTTTTTTGACGTACAAACTCATGCAATTCATTGCCAAGTTTTTGTCAATAAAAGAACCACATATCCGGCCAACATAAAACACTAAGTGAACCAGTTATCTTGATTCCCCAAGTACGGGTCGACACATCACAATTGACTCACCCTAGCTAATTTTTAGTTCTTAATCAGAACGAAGTTACAAAACTAAGAGAATATAGAGAATGAAGGCAAACTCAGGAATGGAAACAAAAGTTGATTTTCATTCAATAAGAGGGGACTTCATTACAAACTTCTCCAAAAAAAAGAAGATACAAGTCTTCAAAGCTCCCGACCAGATTCGGGTGTAGGACTTGGCGGTCTTCTAACAGCAGCAGCTAAAGAAGATTCCCCGGGAGTCTCAGCAGCAGGCTCCCCTTCGTCGTCACTCACTGCTAAGTCTAGCCCGCCTCCACTTCTCTCGACATCTTTCAAGAGATTGAGACAGCAAAAGACGCGGGGAGGATAGAAGCGGTCGGGAGAAGGATGATAGCTAGGAGGCACTAGCGAAGCTAAGTAGTCGACTCCGGCCTTACATGCCAAAGCCACTTCAACCATTCCTCGTTAGGTCTCATATTTATGAGCCTACTATCTAATCTAGTTTTGATAATTAACAAACAATTCCTAATAATGTTTGTCGAGTATTTATTTGCTTGTTAGATATTCTACACAAAGATCCTCCATCGAATGTTGGATGGAATTGAGCTTAACGATGACATTCAAAGAAGATTGGCGGATATCGGAATGAAGCAATAATGAATTCAAAGTCAAATACAAGATCAAGCTTCATCCGTAACCAAGATGAGCTACATTGAAGACCTATAGCTTGGGTAAATAGTTTAAAGATTATACTTTGTGTGATTATACTTAAAGCTCAAATATTACACAACACACATAGTTTATGGTTTATCGCTTTCAAGTTAAATTAAATAAATATGAAACAAATAGTTACATTTATAAACATACATGCTAGTTTCATATTTATCATATTTATTTGTAAAATAATGTGTTTATGGATTAAAGACTTATTTACACTACTTTATATATTTCCTCAAGTCTATTAATCTATTAAAAAGTGTTTCAAAACTTGGTTGGAAGAATTTCATCAAAAATTAAGTTTTGACGATTTCGTGCTCTTGAACAGTTTACAAAATAAATGAGTTTTCACAAATGAAGAATTCAATTTGAGAAAATATTTTTCTAACATGTTATATTACATGTTTACAAACATTTTCCAAAATTCTATCATTTTTGGAGTTGATTTACTATGTTAAAATGATTTACTATGTTAAAATGATTTTACAAAATCAAGTGTTTCAGGAGTTTTTAGAATCTAGAATATCTATTTTAAAATAATTATTTATCACAAATAGGAAGTGATATTTTAGAAATTCTTTCTCTAACATGTTTGTCTACATGTTTAAAAATATTCCTCAAAATTTCATGATTTTTGGAGTTGATTTGCTATTTTTAATTGATTTTGGAAACTTAGATATGTAAAAATTCCTGAATCTGCCAAAACTGCCAACGGTCTACTTTATCAGTCGACTGATGACGTCATCAGTTGACTGATGATTTCAGCCTATAATGGCTAGTTTTTCCAGTTTCGTTTTTTGTGGGTTTTTTGGCTGGTTTGAGAGGCTATAAAAAGCTCTCTTCTCTCATTTGTTTCTAATGGATATTTAAATGTGTTTCACACAAGTTTGTTTTAAAGTTTTAAGTGTATTTTACAAGTGTTTATGTGAAGTGGTTTTCACAAGAGGAAGAGGAGATTATTCCTTACGCGTTTGGGCTTCAATCTCAATCTCTCTCACTCTTGTTTTTCAGAAAAGTTTTTCTAAACTCCTCATCTAGATTATTTGTATTTTATTTATCTTATTATATTTGCTAGATTGATTTGAGTTTAGATTTTATTTTACTTATTGATTCACACACAACCATTGAGCTTGAGTATTTTTACACATTGTGTAATTTGAGTTGTGGGTGTGATTGAGTGAGCTTAACTTAGTTCTCATCTTATTTAGAGAACAAACACTTTGTAGTTGTGCTTAATTATGAGATCATATTGTAATACACAAGGACACCAAGAGAAGTGGTTGGGAGAGATGGGGTCAATTCTAAGAGGAGTGATATCGATAGTAAAGCCTAGGGAGATGTGGTAAATCCGAACACTTGAGGAAGGTGACAAAGGATAGGCTAAAATCCGAGCACTTGAGGAAGGTGACACGGGCTAGGCCAACACTTAGAGAGTGTATGTATAGTTACAATTGTGCGAGTTTGTAAAAATTTTTGGTGAGCTTAGGAAACCGAGTGTGTGGTTGTTTTGATATAGTGGAGATTCTCCTTGAAGATGAGGAGCGGAGACATAGGTCGAGGGTGACCGAACTCCGTGATCATATTATGTGTTTGCGTTTGTTATTTGACGTACTCATTTATTTAGCTCTTATTGCTCATATCTCGTACTCATTATCGCTTTGTTTAATTACATATTCTTGCTTATAACTTATTGAATATCATATTTGCTTAGATAAATTGTTAATAAGTTTTAAATTATCATTTATATCGGATTAGATTAGCATATACCCTATTCACACCCTCCCCCCCCCCCCCAGAGTAATTTCATTTGGTATCGGAGTTTGGTGCTCTTTGATTTGTGGCTTAATCACCTAGAGTCAAAGATCGTCGCTTTGTATTTTTTTTTGCTGGCAAGGGAAACCTGGTCACCCCAGCTCAATTTTACTCCCTTTGGGAGTCCCGCCAGCGGCCCTTGATCGATTCCCCGTGGTCCTCAATTTCCTGCAAGGAGCTACCCTTGCTACCAGGGGCTCATCCCCACAGTGTGGGCGAACAGACAGTGGACCACAAGGACGCGACCTGGTGAGCATACAACGGGCTGAGCCTGAGTGACCAGTAAAACCCCGGGATCCTATCCCCACCCTTAAACTCACAGGAGCCAGGTGAATGCGGTAGCAGGGATTCGAACCCAGTCGCAACGGGCACGAAGCCTGAGGAAATCTCTTCCTCCATGGGGAGCTGCTAATCGGTTGTCCTACCCGCGGGTGGTGTCGCTTTGTATTATTGCTAATCTAGTTTTGTGATTTTTTTTTATTTAATGCTTGCATTTATATCATGGATATGAATGGTGCACCTAGTTTAGGCTATGGCATTAATATTGCTCCTAAATTAAATGTTTCCTCTATGCTCAATGGTGTTTTAGATTTAAAATAGTTGTTAGATCTAAAAATATCGAATTGTGGAAAGTCATTGATTATGCTTATG